TGGTTTTCCAACCTGAGCCCTTTTGATTCTGAAATCTCCTGTCCTCTTCTGGGTGAAGTTCAAACTCTGTTACCACCTTTAGGAAGTTTCTCCACCTACTCTCCTCCTCCCAGGAAGTAAGGGTCATTTGTTTTTGCTTCCTGATTCATACCTAAAATATCTGTGGAGAAAGTCTGAAGGAAGGAGAGGAGACAGACGGTGACAAATGGTAGTACTTTGTCATTTCTAAAGCTCTTTTTTTTATTTTTTTTAATGTTTTTTATTTATTTCTAGGAGAGAGAGAGACAGCGTGAGCAGGGGAGGGTCAGAGAGAGAGGGAGTCACAGACCAAAAGAGGCTCCAGGCTCTGAGCTGGCAGTCAGCACAGAGCCNTCCCTCATGCTCTTCCACAGGCCCCACACACGCATTTCTGCACTTGCCCACATGCCCAGACTTCCCACCCCCTTCACGCCAGTAGTCAGGTTCCCACCCAAACTGGATTTGGGAAGGAGCCGGGATGTGTGACTTCCATTTTAGCCCCACCCCCAATGCAAATACAGCATCAAACCCTCCTGTCCTAGGTAGGGATGAATACCCAGGTGTCATTCGGGGCTTAGAATCTCTGACCCAAAGCCAAGTCTCTGGTTTTCCAACCTGAGCCCTTTTGATTCTGAAATCTCCTGTCCTCTTCTGGGTGAAGTTCAAACTCTGTTACCACCTTTAGGAAGTTTCTCCACCTACTCTCCTCCTCCCAGGAAGTAAGGGTCATTTGTTTTTGCTTCCTGATTCATACCTAAAATATCTGTGGAGAAAGTCTGAAGGAAGGAGAGGAGACAGACGGTGACAAATGGTAGTACTTTGTCATTTCTAAAGCTCTTTTTTTTTTTTTTTTTTTTAACGTTTATTTATTTTTGAGAGAGAGAGCACAAGTGAGGGAGGGCCAGAAAGAGAAAGGGAGACACAGAATCTGAAGCAGGCTCCAGGCTCTGAGCTGTCAGCACAGACCCTAACTCCGGGCTTGAACTCAGGAACTGTGAGATCATGACCTGAGCCAAAGTCTGACACTTAACCGACTGAGCCACCCATGTGGCTCTTCCTTTTAATTGAACTAGTATCTTCCTCCCCCTAGTGTCCAGGAAGTGCCAATTTTAGCCTTTTGGGGACTTGCACATATATGTCTGTGGAAGGGACAGGAAGGGGACAGGTGGTTCTCTGCATGAGATTGGCCTCAAGAGTTTTTATCCCACCCAACTCATTCCATCAATGCTGGTCCCTTAACTTTAAACCAGGGAAGCTTCCTGTGGAATCAATCCAGGTTGTATTAGAGGAACTGAGGAAGAAAGGTGGGTTCAGGTCCTCAGATTTCCTTATTTTTCCTCCTACGTGGGTTTTCCTGAGGGCAGCTTGGCACAAGTCTTTGTTTTTTTATTTTTTTAAAGATTTTATCTTATTTTTTTAAAATTCTTATTTATTAACTAATCTCTATACTCAACATGGGGCTCAAACTCAACCCCTGAGATCAAGAGTCCCATGCTCTACCAACTGAGCCAGCCAGGTACCCCTAAGATTTTATTAAGTAATCTCTCTCACCCAGCATGGGGCTCGAACCCACAACCTCAAGATCAAGAGTCGCCCACTCCACTGACTGGGCCAGCCAGGTGCCCCACAAATCTTTGCCTTTAACAACTTCTTTTCTCTCCCCTGGCTTGGAACCCATAGTGTTCTATCTAGAAGATAGTCCAGTTCCCTGGGTCCTTTTCCCTATTGGTATTCATTATTGAAACCTCTCCATCTGTGTTCCGAGACCTGGAGAGAAGGGGAAGGAGAATTCGTGCCTTGCAGATAATAACAGTAAAACAAATCTTGAATTTCACTTCCTGAAAGCTGAATCTCTTCCACTCTTTATACCTTGGTTTTGCCTTTTGTCCCTTCTTAGCATAAGATGCTTTCATAAGTATCTGTTTTGTAGGAAACCTGGAGTGGTTGGATAAGAACAAATCTAGCTTCCTGATCATGTGGCGAAGGCCAGAAGAATGGGGGAAACTCATCTATCAGTGGGTGAGACTGTTCTGCCGCAGTGACCCATGGCAAAGGAGAATCGTATCTGTGTTCAGCAGATACCTGGTGTTCCTAGGTCTGGACTGAGCAAAGTGGGAAGGGGCAGAAAGAGGAAGTATAGGTCTTCCAGGCAAACCTTTCATCGGCTGCAAAGAACTTCCCTACCTTTGTAGGAGGACAGAGGCTACATGAGGCCATGTTTGGAGAATGCAGTGCCGGGAACCATGAGTACTATTGTTGGCTGGTGTCTCTGGCCACAGAAGATAAATGAGGAGAGGAAGGACCAAAAAAAAAAAAGAAAAAGAAACCTGGGGCCCCTCCCCCAAGAGGCCCTTTGGGGCTGTCCACAATATGAAGGAGACATTCTGAACCAGTGTGGGTGTGGGGACAAACTCTCTTCCCCAAATTCCTAGCCACCACCAGCCCTAAACTTTCCCAAAGGAGAGAAGAGGGGAAGAAGCATCAACAACCCAAATATAACAAACACATGCCACCTATTCCTGAACAGGAAAACAAAATGAGAGGTCACTTCTCAGACATGTGAAGGCCTGTGGTTTAGTGGTTCCGTATGTGTGTGTACACATATAAATATAGCACCTGTAGGGGTTGTGGTTTTCAGGCCACTCCTGCTGAGGTAACAGCGAGCCCTGGTTTGGGAACAGGTACCACTCCTGGGTCTGATAGGTGGAGCTGGTGAGCTCACCTCCCAGGAGATTCCTAGTCCTTATTCAGTCCCTGTTTTCTGTGTCCATAGGTTTCCAGGAGTGGCCAGAACAACTCCGTGTTCACCCTCTATGAGCTGACCAATGGGGAAGACACAGAGAATGAGGGTAATGCTTCTCCCTTTGCCTCCAGTTTTCTCATGTGAATCCTCTCCAGTCCTTGTTGAGCTGACACTCAGACTTCTATCCCTGCCTTTGAATTCCAAATACTGCATGATACAAGGTTTTCCTTAACCCACGTCCAAGATTTTCCCAAGCCACCTGAATTTACCTGCAAAATACCCCCAAATTTTGCCAGTGGGACATATGTGCATTGTTCTAGGGATAGAGTCCATATTAAGCGATTTTCAAAGGGATCTGTGATCCATGAAAACTGAAGAATTCCTGGTGTAGATGCTGAATGAGGAACCAGGGTGGAAGATTAAACCTGAAATCTCATTCCTTGCTGACGCTGGCTTTCTTTCACCCTTTATTCTTACAGAGGGCTCAAGACTTGTGGGTGTCAGCTAAAGGGATTGGGCCAACACCCCCATCCCCACCCCCAGGCCTTTTAAATACTTTGGTTTCTGGCCAGGCAAGGGTTTACGTATTGTTTGATTTACATAGTGTAAATATACCCTTAGCTCTTTCATCTCTGACTTCATATTCTGATCCCCAGGATCACCAAAAACTCCGATCTCAGCTGGGGAGGAAAGGGCAGCTCGCCTTTCTGCCAGGCCCTGGCTGCTGGAACAGAGTTACAGCTCTTGGCTGTTCCCCCACCCCCTGCCCTGCAGGCCTCTGCTTGCTACTCCCACCATTGCCCCATGACTTCAGTGCTGCAGCTATGCCCAGCCCACCACTCACGCTGGGCAAAGCTGGAGGCTTCCTCAGAAAGCAAGGTCCCTGACTCAGGCCGTAGGCCCCCGCAGGGGGTGAGGTGTGTGAGCCTGTTAGGGCTTGCCACCTGCTTCTCACACCTCCCTGCAGTATCTTGCCATATCTCCAGATTTTCAGCTAGCCCTTGGCTCCCAGCCTCATTCCTTTTAAGTAGGAAAGGGCAGATACCTGTGCTGGCCCTTACCAGTCTCGTGGTCAGAGGTACGGCAATACCTTGTGTAAGGACAGGTGGCCCTAATGCAGCAAACAGGTACAGGTGTGCAAACTAGGGTTGGTTTCTAGTGTCAAGGACCTTGACCTTCCTAGGTTTAATTGTCCCCCACTTTGTGGCCCAAAAGTAGATGGTGTCACTCTCCTACATCAGATACTAATGGCACGTGGGTGGAGGGTACACGTGAGGGTTGAGTCTCACAGAAGTACCCAGAAGGGGAAAAGCATGAACTCACATTTTATGGAGACTCCAGCTTTCTTTTGCCCCTTACTCCTAAGGCGAACCCAGGGGGGTTGGCGGCGGCTGCAGTAGTATAGATGGCACATGTCTACCCTGGCCTCAGGGGGTCTCAGCTTCCAGCTAGACTTCTCCTCAGGGGCCTTAAGCACCCAGGAGCCGAGTGTCCCTGACTCCCCATCTCTCCCTTCCAGAGTTCCATGGGCTGGATGAAGCAACCCTGCTCCGGGCTCTGCAGGCCCTACAGCAGGAGCACAAGGCTGAGATCATCACCGTCAGCGATGGCCGAGGCGTCAAGTTCTTCTAGCAGAGACCTGTCTCCTTTTACTTCTTACCTCCCACCCTTCCAGGGCTTTCAAAAGGAGACAGACCCAGTGACCCCACAGACTGGATCCGATCTGTGACTCCACCAGACTCAAAAGGGCTCCAGTGCAGGGATGGGTTTCCCACTTACCCCGTGTGTCTGTCCCTGGGGAAGGGCGAGGCTGAGGCGCCTAGGAGACAAGATGTGCTTCTCCTTGCCCTACCTCCTCTCCCATCCTAGACTGCCCCCGAGCCAGGGTCTGTAAGCCTATAACTCCACATGTGTTCACACACGTAAGTACGTATACACGCGCCTGCACAAGCTTCTGTCTCTGCCCCTTTCCACCCCCTTAGCTGCTATTGCCTCCCCTCCCAGGCTGGTGCTGGATCCTTCCTAGGGGACGGGAGAAGCCCTGGCTGCAGGCAGCCTTCCAGGCAATATGAAGATAGGAGGCCCAGTAAGGGGCCTGGCAGTGAGAGGCCAGGCCCGACACTGATTTTATGATATTAAAAAGCTCAACCCCACTGCCTGCTGTTGGAAGTTACTAGCGGAATGGGCGTGGGGAGGGCTGTGAAGCTTTGCCCCCCTCCCCCCCAGCCTAGGAGAGGGTAGAGGAAGCCTATGGCCTTTGTAAATGAAAAGGTCCCCCAGCACTGGCAGGCTCCAGGGAGCCTGTGGTTTTACATGTGCTGGGTGGGCTGTGGGGGGGAGTGCTGATGGAACACAGCTTGGGGACAGACTGCTTTCTGTCTCTGAATTGGAGTAACTTCATGGCTTCCCCTTCCCTTGCCCTGTCTCCCATGAAAGTCCTGAACTGCTCTGAAGTCCCTCCCTCCCCCCAACTGGTCCTGGGTCGGGTAATTGAGGCCAGGGGGAGCTGAAGGGGTGTAAACCGGATATGGACTTTGGTTTATTGGGAACTTTGGCAAACAGAAGGAGGAGGAAGGAGAGCCCACATAGCAAAAACAGCTACTGTGGCCAGGGCCAGGCTGCGGCCAAGGTAGGGAGGCGGAGGGGATGGGTGACCGGGTCCTTGGCTTGGGGGAGGGACTTTTCCTGGGGTGCACACACCCATCCCTGTGCAGCCCAGAGGGTCAGCGGCTTAGGAGAAAACCAGACCTTTCCATTGACCTCTGTATTGGCCTGGGGCTACTCTGGACGAACAGGAGCGGGTGGCGCTACCTTATCTGGGGCGTGCAGGCGGGTGGTAACCTTCCCTTAGCCACCCCCCCCCCGCCCCCAACCCGTCCCCCACGGTCCCAGGGCCGGAGGGCCGCTGTCCCGTTTCCTCTCCCAACCCCGGCGTCGTGCCTCCCCCAGCCACCCCCACCCCCAGACAGGTTTGCTCACTCTCAGTGCGGGAGGACACACGGCCGCCTCGCACCCCGTCCGCTTCGGAATGAGCCTCCGGGCGGTGCACTGGGAGTCGAGGGAGAGGAGGGCCTGCGGCCGGAGGCGGGGCAGCGAAGGTGAGGGGCTGCGCACCCGGCCCAGCGCACCGCTGGCCGCTCGGAGGGGGCTGCCGGGGCGGGGCCGGGGGGGGAGGGGCGGGGCCGGGGGCGGGGCTGCAGGACTGGTCGAGCCCGGACTGGGGCCCCAGTTGCTCAGCCGGAGCGCTGCGCACCCAGCCAGTCTGCCTGTCAGACCGCCTCCTCTCCAGCCTCCCGGCTCACCGCCTTGCGGCGCCGGCCTTTCCTCATGCTGGCTCCCCCAGGCTCCGAGACTGCGGTCCCCATGTCCCAGGCGGAGGCCGACCTGGCCCTTCGGCCCCCGCCACCTCTTGCTGCCGCGGGGCCGCCCCGCCTCGGGCCCCCTCCTCGCCGGGCGCGCCGCTTCTCCGGGAAGGCTGAGCCCCGGCCGCGCTCTTCCCGTCTCAGCCGCCGCAGCTCAGTCGACTTGGGGCTGCTGAGCTCTTGGTCCCAGCCAGCCTCACCCGCTCCGGAGCCCCCCGAACCTCCAGATTCCGCTGGTCCCGGCCCCGCAAAGAGCCCACCGCCTAGCTGCCCAGAACCCCTCGAGGGCACGTGGACCGGGGGAGCCCCCCCGAAGGCTGCAGACTCAGCGCGTCCAGAACTAGCAGTCTCCGCAGGAGGCCCGGGGTCCCGGGAACCGCCGCGGGTCCCCGAAGCCGCGGCTCGGGAGCGGCAGCGGGAGCAGGAGGAAAAAGAGGATACGGAGACCCAGGCAGTGGCAACGTCCCCGGACGGCCGATACCTCAAGTTTGACATCGAAATTGGACGTGGCTCTTTCAAGACGGTGTATCGAGGGCTGGACACCGACACCACAGTGGAGGTGGCCTGGTGTGAGCTGCAGGTGCGGCTGGGCACCCCCTCTATGGCACCTCGGGATGGGACCCTTTGGAGGTCTTGGGATGAGAAACCTAGGGGACAGCAGCAAGGGAGAGATCTATTTTTCCAGTCGAATGTCTGGATACTCCTTCCCCACCTTGCTCTGATGATCAATGGATCTGGCTGATTCTGGGCTGCAGAAGGAGAGACTGAGGCAGAGGGTGTATGGAGGCTCCCCTATAGGTTGTGGACATTCTAACTTTAAAATCTCTATACTCAGCCCTCAGAGGTGAAAGATAGGATGCGAAATTGGGGATGGAGCCAGTTTGGATCTGAGGGGTGACCAATTTCCCTCAGTAGTTACTGTCTCTTTCCCTTTCCGCTCAGTCCCGAGACCCTCAGTGTGACCCTGGGCCTCCTCCTCCTTCACCCTGGATCTTTGCAGATTAGGAGGCTGGGATGACGGAAGCTAGGAGAGCTGGGGCGAGGGTGCTCTCCACTTCCAAAAGATTTAGAGCGGTGGTGTCAGGATGGGTTTCTCCCAGGCCCCTTCTGGAACAGACTTCTAGACTTCTCCACAACTGGGGCAGGGGGAGACAGAGAGCGCCAGCCCTGGCCCGAATCCAGTCCTGCTCCTCATCCCACTGTCTACCTGGGCTGTCCCTTCCCAGACCCAAAGGTACTGAATCCAGCAGTCTTTAGGGGGATGTTGGTGTGAAGGATCTTTTCATGGAGGGAAGAACCCAGTTAAGTCTGGGCCAGCAGCAGCTTTGGGCAGAGCCTGGGTAAGGGTCCTCCCCTCCAGCCCTGGCGCCGGGCTCGCCCCTTGTGCCTGCCAGTGGTGCGCCCTAGGCTCTAGGCCAGGCAAGGAGAGGCAGCCAAACGAATGGGGTGGGGGTGGGGGGTGGCCAGGGAGATGAGAGGAGGGCGGGACAGCCAGGGGCAGGGGGCCGTCTCCTGGCGCCTGGTCCTGGATCTTTCTGTCTTTCTCTTGTAACTCCCTCTGCAGCCCTCCTGCCTCCTGTCTGGATCTAGCAGTTCCTAGCTTCTGGGGCCAACCCCGTTGAGGGCCCCAATTCTCTGCCCGCTGTCAGGCTGCTGCCCGCCCGCTGCCAGCCCCTGGGGCGTCCCCTCCCGCCCCACGGCTGGCCAAGGAGGCCACAAAGGCGCTATTGAGCTCGGGACTCCTGGACCGGGCTGCATAAAGGCCCTTGTGTCCAGCAGGGGGTCCAGGGGCGGCCCCAGGCCCAGGATGGGTGTGTCCTTGCAGCAGCCCAAGGGGGCGGATCGGGATATACAGCCCGTAGGGCGAGGGATGATCTAGCCCCATTCGCAGGCTCCTCCGACCCTCACCTCTTCCCTAGCTCCTCCCCACATGCCCCTTCCTCCTCTCTGTGGGGGTCCTAGGCCTCCCGTGATCTTGACCCCCACCCATCCCCCTACCCCCACAGACTCGGAAACTCTCTCGAACGGAGCGGCAGCGATTCTCTGAGGAAGTGGAGATGCTCAAGGGGCTGCAGCACCCCAACATCGTCCGCTTCTACGATTCGTGGAAGTCGGTGCTGAGGGGCCAGGTTTGCATCGTTCTGGTCACCGAACTCATGACCTCCGGCACGCTCAAGACGTGAGCTCTGCACCTGGTGGTAGTGTTGGTTGGGAGGGGGCGGCTGGTGGCGGGACGTCCCCGCTTCTGGAACTTCTCCCAGGCTCCCCAAACTCCATATTTAGGTCCAAAATCAAGCTCACTATCTCTCACCCACCCCTACTGCGTCCCTGCCTTGGTGTGTGGCAGTGGCCGCCCAGCACTCCAGCCAAAACTTGGGCATTTCCCCAGGTGCCTCCTTTACCTCCACTCTGTGCACCCAACCTTCCCCCCCAGTCTGTCTCCAAGGCCCTTCTTAACGCTGCCCACTCTGCTTTCCCTGTTACATCCGTTGCCATCTCCCTGATTCGGAGCCCTGCAGCCTCCCCCCCACTCTGCCTTCACCTTTCCTAGCAGTCCTGTCTTCCCGCAGTCTGGGCCGTCTCTACCCATTCCGTAAAACCCCTTAAAGGTGTCCCACCACCCTCAGGATAAAGTCCACACTCTCTAACCTACTCACAAATTCCTTAGGATTTAGCCTCCTCTTGAGCCTAAAGTCCACATAAACTGAATTCCCAGCACCTCCTCCCACCCTGCCCTACCGCCGACTGCGTGCCTTGGAGCACAGTGTCCCCTCCGCCTGGAAAGTCTCCATCCCTTCCCCTTTTCACCCTTGAACCCCCACTCATCCTTCAAAATGCAACATAAAAGTTATTTCCTTTCTAAAGCCCTCCCCCACGCCCAGGACAGTTAGTCATCCCTTCCTGCGCTCCCACAGCCCCTTGGCGCGGCCCTATCTGTGAATTTACGACCGACCCATTTTGTAATCTCGGCCTGCCTACCACACCCCCGTCTCAGTTTCTCTCTGGAGCACACCGCGGACCTGAGCTAGAATAATGCCGGGAGAAGATGTCTACGCCGCGGTGCCGGTGGGGCTAGGGAACTTCCCAGTGGCGCCCCCCCCCCCCCCCCCCCCCCCCCCCCGGCTTCTGTGTCTCCGCCACGACCCCTGCTCTGCGCCCTGCCCCCAGATACCTGAGGCGGTTCCGTGAGATGAAGCCGAGAGTGCTTCAGCGCTGGAGCCGCCAGATCCTTCGAGGGCTTCATTTCCTGCACACCCGGGTACCCCCCATTCTGCACCGGGATCTCAAGTGCGACAACGTCTTTATCACGGGCCCCTCAGGGTCGGTCAAGATCGGGGACCTGGGTCTGGCCACGCTCAAGCGCGCCTCCTTTGCCAAGAGCGTGATAGGTGAGTCCCTCCAGGAGGTCCTTGCTATTCCTCCCCCGCGTTAGAAGAGACCCTGGGGGCCCATTCTCCCCAGCAGGGTCCTTTGAGTTGCACGGGGTTACATGAGCATGGGGAACGTGGGGAGACTGATGGCATCCTCTCTGCCCCGCACCCCTCCCACACACATGGTGGGGAAGGGTCCGTTACTAGCGCTCCAGAACTCGTGAGGTTGCTCTCCCTTCCTGCCCAACCCCCCTCCCTCCAACCTAGCCTGTGGTACGCCCAAGAGGAGGGAGGAAGCCAGCCAGAGGGCGGCTCTGCAGCCTGATGCCTGCTGTGGATCCTATAGGGACCCCGGAGTTCATGGCCCCGGAGATGTACGAGGAAAAGTATGATGAGGCGGTGGACGTGTACGCCTTTGGCATGTGCATGCTGGAGATGGCTACCTCAGAGTACCCTTACTCCGAGTGCCAGAATGCCGCGCAAATCTACCGCAAGGTCACTTCGGTGAGAGGGGGCGGGGAGGAGAGACAATTCCAGATCACCTCCCATTTTCCTGCCCCTATCAGCCCGCGGTCCATGCCCTTTTCCTTAAACAAAACAGGCTAGACAGAAAGATGCTCTGGTAAACACTGAGGATATTGGATGTACACACGCTCACTCGCTGCCCGCCCCCCCCCCTGCCCCGCTGTTTAAAATAATGATGTGTGTAGCACTTGCTCCTTAGAGTTTGCAAACGATTTCACATCTGATCTTTAAGGGCGCCTTGTTCTGTCCTGTGCTTTACAAATGGGGAAAACTGGCACACTGGGAGACTTGTTCAAGGTCATACTATCAATACGTGACGGGGGGGGGGTGGGAGCACTGGGATTTGAAATTAAACCGTCTAGTAACTGTCGCTATGTGCTGCTGTCGTGGTGCCTTTACGATTGCACGCCCTGCTGCCCTGGGTGGGGTGAGGGGCAAACAGAGAGTAGCGTCGCAGAGGCCCAGAGGCTTCATGTGCCCCCTTTCCTCTAGGGCACAAAGCCGAACAGCTTCTATAAGGTGAAGATGCCCGAGGTGAAGGAGATCATTGAAGGCTGCATCCGCACAGATAAGAACGAGAGGTGGGCTGGAGGGGGGCAGGGTGGGGTGGGTTCTGGGGCGTTGGAGGGGGGGCGGGGGGTTAGGCTCGGCTCACCGCAGCGCCCCCCTCAGGTTCACCATCCAGGACCTCCTGGCTCACGCCTTCTTCCGAGAGGAGCGGGGCGTGCACGTGGAGCTGGCGGAGGAGGACGACGGTGAGAAGCCGGGTCTCAAGCTCTGGCTGCGCATGGAGGACGCGCGGCGCGGGGGGCGCCCGCGGGACAACCAGGCCATAGAGTTCCTATTCCAGCTGGGCCGGGACGCCGCAGAGGAGGTGGCACAGGAGATGGTGAGCAGAAGACAGACTGCCCTGCGGCTGGGCTTGTGCGCGGCGGGTCAGTGCCATGCCATGCGGGGGGTGGGGCGGGCACCCAACCTACCCCGCTCAGAGTGTCTGCTAAGTGTCTCCCTGGCCCTCGCGCCTGCGCACACCCATACGCGTGCCCCACGTGCGGGTTCTTTAAACATTTCCTTTTCTAGAGCAAGCCCTGGGTCCTCCGGCCTCCCTCGCTCTGCTTCCTGCTGCTCTGACTTTCCTGGAATGCTCTTCCTCCAATTTATCTATTTATTTGTCTCTTTCCCCCCCCACCCCAACCTTGTTTCCCCCTCTTTCTTCCTCACTGCTCAGAACCAGGAGTTTCAGGAAACCTGTCCCCTCTAGAGTCAAAATTAAATGCTTTGTTCCAGTTCAGCAGGCCCTCCATGACAGGACCCACCACCTTTGGTCTTGTTTTCTACCAGGATACACTCCTGACTCTGTCCTCCACTGGACTATAAATTCCTTGAGGGCAGAGACTGTGTTCCATTGATTTTTCTATCTCTGACAGTGGTCTGCACATGGTTGAGCTCATTAATAATCCCACGTGTGTACATGGCTTAGAGCGCTTTCACATGCATTCGATTGGTGTCGCTGCCCGGAGTGACTTTATCCTGATGTATTGATGAGGGAATGGAAGGGTCAGAGGGGTTGAATATCTTGTCCAGGGTCCTGAGCAAGTAAGTGGCAGAGCTGGATTTAAAATCCAGCCATTCAGATCTTAAGGCAGATCACCCTGCCCCACCTCGCTTACATGTGCTGCAAAGCTTGAGACGAATAAGGAGTTGATGAACAGAAGCTGCCAGACCAGAAGAGGCATACATGGGAGGGAGAAGATGCAGGGCTGGCTTAGGAAGGCCTGAGAAGGGAAGGGAGAGAGTATGAGGTTCTTGATGGAAAAATGGCCGTTGGAAGCGTGGGGATCGTCTGTGGTAGGTCTGGACCGCAAGCCTGAAAATGTGTTTTAAATGTAGCAGAACGGGTCTGCTTAGCACAGTTCAAACCTGACCTGGCATCAAATCTCGATCCATTACTTACAGGGAGTCTTTTAAAAATTTATTAAAAATAAATAAATAAATAAATAAATAAATATTATTAATTGATTAATTAATTTTGAGAGAGAACACACATGTTGGCACACAAGTGGGGGAGGGGCAGAGAGTGAGGGAGAGAGAGAGTCCCAAGCAGGCTCCACACTGTCAGTGCAGAGCCCAACATGGGCGCTTGAACTCACGAATCATGAGCTCATGACCTGAACTGAAATCAAGAGTCAGCTGCTCAACCAGCTGAGCCACCCACGTGCCTCAAGCAGGGATTCTTTTTTTTTTTTTTTTTTAATTTTTTAAAATGTTTTATTTATTTCTGAGAGAGAGAGAGCGCATGAGCAGGGGAGGGTCAGAGAGAGGTGGAGATACAGAATCTGAAACAGGCTCCAGGCTCTGAGCTGGCTGTCAGCACAGAGCCCGACGTGGGGCTCAAACCCATGAACTGTGAGATCATGACCTGAGCTGAAGTTGGACACTTAACCGACTGAGCCACCCAGGCGCCCCCCAAGCAGGGATTCTTAATGATGACACACCACTGATATCTTTATTTGGGAGACTGTCCTGTGCATTGTAGGATGTTGAGGAGAGTCCCTGGCTTCTACTCACTAGCTGCCAGGCAGTAGCACTGAATTATGACAACCACAAATGTCTCCAGATATTGCCAAATGTTCCCCCTTTCCCCTTGAGAGCAATCGATCTACTAGATAACCATGAACTAGTCACAGCTTTACTTATTTCTAAATTGGGGCTAAGACCTACCTCAGAAGGTTGTTGGGAGGATTTAATGATGACAATGTAAAGAGTTGCCAGTTAATGGACACAGTGGATGATCAATAAGTATTAGTGTCCTTTTTCCAGGAGAAATATCCCAGAGGTTTCAAGAAGGTGTCCTGATGGGTCTGTGGCTGGAGTCCTCACCTCAAACCGTGCTTCTCACCCTCTTAACTCCAGGTGGCCCTGGGTCTAGTCTGTGAGGCTGACTACCAACCAGTGGCCCGCGCGGTACGTGAACGAGTTGCTGCCATCCAGCGGAAGCGTGAAAAGCTGCGCAAAGCTAGGGAGTTGGAAGCCCTCCCCCCTGCACCGGGTCCCCCACCAGCAGCTGTTCCCAAGACTCCTGGTCCCCCAAGTGGCTTCCCCCCTGAGCCCGAGGAGCCAGAGGCAGACCAGCACCAGCCTTTCCTCTTCCGCCATGCCAGCTACTCATCTACCACCTGTAAGTCACTCCTGACCTTGGGATATGGGATGTGACCTAGGTACCAGAACCCTTGGCCTCTGCCCCCTGCCCTGAAGTCCAACCCGGTAGCACTGTCACTTACCCTGCCTTCCCCAACTAGCCATGAAGCTCCTTCTGGGAAAGGACTCCCACAGCTGCAGGCCCCTTCTTGCTCAGGCAGCCCCCCTGCTCTGCCACCACTCCCCTTTATTTCCCCTTTTTTGATCCCCTCCCTCCCCCACCAGCGGATTGCGAGACTGATGGCTACCTCAGCTCCTCCGGCTTCCTGGATGCCTCAGACCCTGCCTTTCAGCCCCCTGGGGGGGTGCCATCCAGCCCCGCTGAGTCCCATCTCTGCCTGCCCTCGGTGAGAGGGGGTCACGTGGGGGGTCTCCCAGCCATTCCAAGCCTGCGAGCTATCTTTCTCCTTGTGAAACCCAGCCCCGTAACCTGGCCCCGCATCCCTGGAAATCCACTACTCTGTCCTCACCTTCCTTAATTCTTTCTGCCTAGTACCCCAGCATCCTTGACGCCACCTCCCTGGATTCCCCACAATTGTCATCCTCTGACCTCATCAACCCATTTCCTGTTTCAGGCTTTTGCCCTATCCATTCCACGTTCTGGCCCTGGCAGTGACTTTTCCCCAGGAGACAGGTAGGTTCTGGTAGGAGTTGGGGTGCGAGGGTGAGACCTATGGAGGGTTCCAGTGTCCCCTCTGACACTTCTACCTCCTTTCCTTTTCCAGTTATGCCTCAGATGCAGCATCCGGCCTTAGTGATGTGGGAGAAGGGATGGGACGCATGAGGAGACCCCCAGGGAGAAATCTCCGGCGCAGACCCCGATCCCGGCTTCGGGTCACTAGTGTAAGGAAGGGGCATAGAAGATGGGGAATAACCTACGGGACCAGGAGGGAACTGTCAGGGGGGATGAGGGAGGTCAGACAAAAAAGAGGAGAACAGTATGTGACTTTTACTGTAGAGGCAGCCAGTCTAGTTTCTAATACCAGACTTTAGGGGCAGAGTCTGCTTCTGTCTAGTTCCATCCTGGCAGCTGTTACTTGGTTAGAGTGGGGTGGGGGCATGTGATGAGGATGGAGGGCTTGACCTCCTCCCCTCTGCTGACTTTGAATCTGAAGGTCTCAGACCAGAATGACAGAGTGGTTGAGTGCCAGCTACAGACGCACAACAGCAAGATGGTGACCTTCCGATTTGATCTGGATGGGGACAGCCCAGAAGAGATTGCAGCTGCCATGGTGAGAGGGGAGGGAGAGGAGGACAGAGTCTTTGGGTCCAGGACAAGAATCTCCCTCCTGATGCCCCTGAACTCTGTCTTCCTTCCACCCAACAGCCAGGGTTTTTAAAGCACGATTACACTGAAGACATCTGCCCTTGTTTTGGGGGCAATTTTTATTTACCCAGTGAGGTTTGGATCCTCAGCTAGAGCAATTTGAGACTAACATAGGGTACACACAGTGCTGTGGTGAGGTACATGCTAGATACGCGATACTGTGGCCATGAGTAAAGGGTGGTCTTGGGGCAGCAGACGGAGGAGGTAGAACTTATTCAAGGTCTTCACAGATGGTTAAGAACAGCATAAAGACTGAGGAGGGCAGGTCTAGAGGAAGTATAGCATAAGGACAGGCGTGGAAGCACGGAGTGACTTGGAATATGGGGTGGGGGAGAGGAGCTTCATGAGGAGACCCCTGTCACTAGAACTAAGGGTTCCTCTAGGAGACTTGTGGAAGTGAGGCTGGGCATGTGGAGTAGGCCCAGAGTATAGACAGTCGTAAGAATTAGATAGAGTGTAACATGGTGAGGATAGAGTTTAGGAAGACCATTGTGCCATGGGAAGTGGGAGAGGGTTGGGGGTAGGGAATCCAGTTGGCAGATGGATACAAGAAACCACAAGTGGTCCAAGGAGAAAATGGATTATGGGGGAAGAGAGGAAGGAAAGGGGAGAATCCGAGGGTTGTTTCAGGAAAATAAATTACTCTGTAATCCAGTTATTTATTCTATTTTTTTAAGTTTATTTATTTGGAGAGAAAGGGAGAGAGCAAGTATGAGTGGGGGAGGGGCAAAGAGAGAGGGAGAGAGAATCCCTAGAGGGCTCTCCACTGTCAGCACAGAGCCCAATGCGTTGATCCCACAAACCATGAGATCATGACCTGAGCTGAGATCAAGAGTCAGATGCTTAACTGACTGAGCCCCCATCCCCAGCACTCCTCCAGACATTTATTGATGTAATACACTGCAAATAGTAGTTGCTCAGAAAACATTGCAGAGTTGAAATGATAGGGAGTTAGGGAGAGAGGATACCATGGGTGACTTGCAGCATGGAGAAGCTAGTGGGAGTAGATCGTTAAAGGAGAGAGAAAGTTGGAAAATGAACGCAGGGGTTCTTAGGGGTCACGATGAGCTTGAATGACAGAGGGGCAGGCAGGATCCTCCCTGGGAGCAGGATATGGTCAGGCAGGGCTGGAGGCAGAAGTGGATCAAGGAGTTGTCAGCACGGAAGGGAAAGTGAAGGGAGATGAGCTTGCAAAGCCAGAAGCAGAGGGAGTCTGAGAGTGGGTCTCAGTGGAGACCCCCATTTCTGGGATGGGTGAAATAGGTCATCGAAGGACACAGAGATGGAGCCTGAGAGGTAGGAGGAGCCCCAGCAAATGTTAGGGAAAACTGAGGAAAAAGAGTTTCAGGGAGGTGATGTTGGGTGAAGCCTGAGGCAAGCCCACGCTGGCTTCTGTTGGGAGAAGGTCTTCGTGGGAGACCAGTCTCTGTGGAGCGGGGGAAGTGGGTGCTAGCCTCTGTGGTGAAGGAGTGAGGGGAATGAGAGAAGCATCAGGGTTCAGGCACTCTCTTTAAAGCCTCTCTTCCGTCATGTCACTCACCTTGTATCCATGACAAAGACAAAATACTTTGGCACACAGTCTTATCATCTTCCATCAAGCCACTTGACACTTCAAGAATCTTCCTTCCTGCCACACTGGTGTCTGAATGGTCCCCTGAAGAGGCTGGGTGACTTTCTGCTTCTGCCTCCATCTGCTCAGGGGTCTCTTGCCTTGAAAATCTTCTCTACTAGGCTTTCAAGCACACTCAGATCCCACACAGCCAAAGTGACCCCACTCCCTGACCACAGGGTCCACTGTGGTCCCTACCAGTCCACCTTTCATGCCTCTGCAGCAGACTTGGATCTGCTCTTCTTGTTTGTCCTTACTTTTTTTTTTTTTAAGTTTATTTAGAGAGAGAGAGAGAGAGAGAGAGAGAATTCCAAACAGGCTTCATGGTGCCAGTGTAGAGCCTGATGCAGGGCTTGAACTCACAAACTGAGGAGATCATGACCTGAGTCGAAGTTGGTCGCTTAACTGACTGAGCCACCCAGGCGCCCTCGGACCATTGGCTTTAAAATTCACAGCACTCCCAGTTCTGCTCTTGTCTTCACTGTTTTGTGAACGTGCCATGTCCTTTCATGCCTCTGAGCTGTTATTCATGCCGTTCTCTCTGCCCTTCTCTCCGATGAACAGCATGGAAGAGAGGAAAAGGGTGGGCTTTCACATAAGACCCGAGTTCAAATTTTGGCTCTGGGATTTACTGATGTGGTGAATTGGGGCAAATTTCTGAAGCTCTCTGAACCTCAGTTGCTCATCAGTAAAGTGCAGATGATGATACTCATTTCGTAAAGATATTCTGATATAATGTATAATTTATGAGAAGTGAGCTCGTATGTACAAGAAATGAAATTATATGAGAAGTGACCGCACATGGCAGGTCCTTGATGAAGGGTTGCTTTCTTACTCCTCCTTCAAGGCTCAGCTCTGTGTGGCCATCCCAGCTTCCCTTATTATCCCTGCTCTCTCTTTGGAATGGCATTTAAAAAAATTGTAGCAGAAAACACATACCATAAAATTTACCATGTTAACCATTTTTAAGTATACAGTTCAGTAGGGTTACTGTATTCTTAAAGATTCACATTGTTGTGAAACACATCTCCAGAACCTCTTCATCTTGCAAATCTGAAACTGTACCCATTAGACCACTCTCCCTTTCTGCTGGAATAGCATTTGATCTATACCTTGATCACAATGCCTTTCTTACCATGGACTGACTTGCAGTATACTGAATTGTGTAGATATGTGTCTCTTCCACTAGATTTTGGGCTTCTTCGGGACTAGGACTTTGTTTTGTGCTTTTCTGTATTCCTCACCTAGAACAAGGCACCTATACCTACAATGCTTGGCACATAGCATGTGCTCCGGTATTTGTGAAATATAATGTTACACTTAACTATTTATTATTGCCTTATATTCACTTAATGGTGTGTGTGTGTGTGAGAGAGAGAAGGGGGTGGGGGGAGAGAACGCCTGTGTGGTTTATGACCCCTGTGAGAGTAGGAGTCATGTCCAAAAGCATACGTTGCAACAGTGGGAAGAAATCAGGGTCTGGCTTTAGACAAGTCTGGGTACAAATCCTTTGGTTTTAGGTAGACTGAACTTAACCTTTTTGAGCATTAGTTATCTTAACTCTAAAATGGGGTGATTGAGGCACCTGGCTGGCTCAGTTGGTAGAGCAGGCAACTCTTGATCTTGGGGTTGTGAGTTCGAGCCCCGTATTGGGTGTAGAGATTACTTAAAATTAAATCTTTTTCTAAAAAAATCAATAAAATACAATGGGGTTGTTAACACAGACCCGAGAGAGCTGTTTTTGGTGTTAGATGAACTAAGACACGTAAAGCATCCAGGCTATGAGGCATCCTAAGGATGTTAGCTTCTGTGCTCTAAGCTTATTTCTCCTTGCACCACACAGTGCCTGGCATACAGTAGGTACTTACTGAATACTTGTTTTAGGTGGTTGGTTGGCAGAGCAGTGGGGTGAAGGGTTGGTTGGTTTTTAAAGATCAGTGCAGGGGAGAGGGTTGAGTGAGATAACCGAGACCTCCCTCCCCTTCCTGCTGACCCTTGCTAGGTGTATAATGAGTTCATTCTGCCCTCGGAGCGAGCCGGCTTCCTGAGCCGTATTCGGGAGATTATCCAGCGAGTGGAGACCCTGTTGAAGAGAGATACTGGCCCTGTGGAGGCTGCTGAGGATGCCCTGGGCCCCCAGGTTAGAACCCTTGGCTCATCCCTGGGGGGAACAGATTCTGCTCCAGACTTCTTTACTCTCTGCCAACACCAGCCCCCGTCGCTCTAACTCCTTCATCTATAGGATCCTAACACTATGGCTCTTCCCCCATGTGAGAGTCTGATGAAAGCCATGGGCTCTTGTTCTGGAAAAAAATCTGTTCATGTATACTTTTCTTTTTAACTCATTATTCTGATAGAATTTCAGACTTACAGAGAGAAGTTGCAAGAATTGTACAAAGAACTCCTAGATACGCTTTGCCCAGATTTGCCACCTATTACTGTTTTGTCACATTAGCTTTATTGTTCTCTTCTGCCCTCCCCTCTCCATATGTATGTGCACATATTATTTTTTTCTGAACCATTTTGGGAGTAAATTGCAGACGTCATACCCCTTTACCTGTAAATAATTTAGCACATACACTTTTGAGACCCTTGAAACGCCTCTCTGGGCTCCTAGAAGTTCATGGGCCCCAGCTGAAGCCCTGTGAGAACTGTCATCTAAGACTCAGCTCTTCCCCACTGTGACCATGGGCCCCTTCCTCTCCCTCAGGTGGAGCCAGCACCATTGCCTGCCCTCTCCGGCCCCCTCCCAGACCCATCCCGTGGTATGTACTGCGTTCTGTCCCTACTCATCACAACCCTTGCAGTCACTCCTGGGAAGGGCTTAGGGAATGGGGGGCTGGGAAGTCAACACTCCCTTCTCTCCGGCAGAGCTCCAGAGCAGTCCGTCCCTGGAGCAGAGTTGCTGGGCAGCCTTCTCCACATCGCCATCTTCTCCTGGAACCCCCTTGTCTCCTGGAAACCCGTTTTCCCCCGGAACCCCTGTCTCCCCAAGTCCCATTTTCCCCATCACTTCTCCCCCATGTTGCCCCAGCCCTGCCCCATTCTCCCAAGCCTCTTCAAATCTCTCTCCACAACCCCCCAGCTCCCCCCTGGCATTCTCCCCCAGTGCCGCCCAGTTCCCCAGCCCTGCCTCTCCGTCTCCCCTGAGCTGCCTCCTCACTTCTCCACCTGCCTTGTCTCCCAGTTGTTCTCAGGTCACCCTTACTCCTCCTTCCTGTCCCCCCTGCCCCTCCACTTCCCCCCTGCCCTCCACCACAGCAGCCCCTCTCCTCTCTCTGGCTAGTGCCTTCTCACTGGCTGTGATGACCGTGGCCCAGTCCCTGCTGTCTCCCTCACCTGGGCTCCCATCCCAGTCTCCGCCAGCCCCTCCTGCACCCCTCTCTAGCCTGCCCCTGCCCCCCGCCCCTCCCCCTTGTGGCCAGGACAGGCCTTCACCCCCAACAGCTGAGACCGAGAGTGAGGTGAGTAGGAAACCAAGAGGGATGGATGGTTAGGGGAGCTCCATGCTGGATCATTTCTCTCCTCACGGACCCGCACTTCGTAGGTCCAGCCTAATCCTGCTCGGCCACTCCCGGGTGAGGCCAGACTGGCGCCCATCTCTGAAGGTGAGGCCTCTGACCTCTGACTTTCCCCTGCCACCAGTTTCTCTCCCTCCTTTCATGACTCTTTCCTGGTGTCTCGACAGAGGGCAAGCCGCAGCTTGTGGGGCGTTTCCAGGTGACTTCATCCAAGGAACCAGCGGAGCCTCTGCCCCTGCAACCAGCACTCCCAGCCCTCTCCAGTCCCCTGAAGCCTCCAACTCCTCAGCTGGCCTCGGAGAGCTCAGACACAGAGGACAGTGGCGGAGGCGGGCCAGAAGCCCGGGAGGCTCTGGCCGAGAGTGACCGTGCAGCTGAAGGCCTAGTGGCTGGAGCTGAGGAGGAAGGGAACGATGGGAAGGAACCCCGAGTGGGGGGCAGCCCCCCACCCCAGAGCCATCCCAGCCCAGTGTGGATGAACTACTCATACAGCAGCCTGTGTCTGAGCAGTGAGGAGTCAGAGAGCAGTGGGGAGGACGAGGAATTCTGGGCGCAGCTGCAGAGTCTGCGGCAGAAGTGAGTCTGGGGAGGAAGGAGAAGAGGTGGACTCGGGAGAGCAAAGCGCGTGACTAGCCCTCATGGCCTTGTGCATCCTCAGGCACTTGTCGGAGGTGGAGGCACTACAGACACTACAGAAAAAGGAAATTGAGGACTTGTACAGCCGGCTTGGGAAGCAGCCCCCGCCGGGTATCGTGGCCCCAGCTGCTATGCTGTCCAGCCGCCAGCGCCGCCTCTCCAAGGGCAGCTTCCCCACCTCCCGCCGCAACAGCCTGCAGCGCTCCGAGCCCCCAGGCCCTGGTGAGACCGCACTGGCCGGGCTCCCTTCTTTCCCAGGTCCCCTTGCCTACCGATCTGGCTTTCTTCCAGGCCCCGGGGGTCTGCCCCTTGGTTTGGGGGCACTAGCCCCCCTCTCCCCGTGGCCCCTTCCTTCACTCAGTGCTCTCCCTCCCCATCCTGCACCCAGGCATCATGCGAAGGAACTCCCTGAGTGGCAGCAGCACCGGCTCCCAGGAGCAGCGGGCAAGCAAGGGGGTGACATTCGCCGGGGATGTTGGCAGGATGGTGAGGGCGGGCCCAAGGGAGGGCGAGCCCTGGGAACGGTAACTGGCTGCAGCGTCACCCTTCTCCCGTCCTAGAGGTTTCTTCAGTGCATTTTCTTTTCCCTCCAGTGAATTCAGAACAGAAGCCATGTGTCTCTCCCACACCAGGGCCCATGATGGAGCTCGTGCTCTCAGAATCTGCCGACCATCACAACTCCGCAAGAAGACCCCAGTACTGAGGAAGTAGAAGGCCTAAGGGGCATGGAGTGCTGCTCCATTAGAGGGAAGAGCCAAACACATGGGAACGATTTACTGTGTGTGTCAATTCTGCAGCCTGCCATCCTCATTCCTCCACCTCCCCAGCCAAGGGTCAACCACTAAGCAATCCCACTCAAGCCCTGAAGCTTCTAGAGGGCACACTCCCAGCTGAACAGGTGTAGGAGGGGTACTCACATAGAATTAGCAACAGCCAATAAAAATGCTGAAAACTAGGAATCTGTGAGTCTGTATCTGTTGTACCTTAAGAACTGGGGGTGAGGCCTTGTGGGGTAAGGCGGGGGAGAATTTAGAAGGGACTCGCCTCATGATGGGGAGCAAGACTAGAAACTGCCCAGCTTCCTGGCTTCCCACCAGCAGTTCACGAGGAAACTGCAAGGTCAACCAACGATGCGCCTGACCAAGCTAAGATCTCATCCAGACCCCACCTTAGGCCTACAGAGCAAGCTCCGCGAAGAATTTTGATTCCCTTATCTTTCACCTACGCCTCTCTCAGAATGGGTAAAGGCAGGAAAGTTGGAGTAGGGGTGTGTTGTTTTTAAGGGTAGAGGACAAAAGAGTGACCTTCCCTCACTGAAGAGGTGGTTCAGTCTCACACAGCCCAGTGACCCACCCTGATCTCTCCCTTAAATCAGACGGAAACATCTCACGGAAAAAAGTAATTCTAGTTAAACATTTACGGCTCCCTGGGGCAATGCCACTGCGGCAGCTACTGCTTGTGGAGCTTTCCAGCATGGTCATGCCATCCCTCAGCCTCCTCAACACACTCATTTGGCTCCAAGACAGGCGACTCAGTTTATTATTCTCAACCTAACCCCATCTTTTCCACTTTAGGCTCCAACACTACAGAGCTGCCACCCCCACTCCCATAAAAGCTAAGTCCCTGGGAGGAGGAGAAGGTAAACCACAAAGTTAGAAAGACTGAGAAAAGCAAAGGTCATACAATTCTCAAATAAGGAAACAAACTATAGGAAGGGCTCGGTGACTGGACACAGCGAGAAGTGGCCAATATTCCCTTGACCAGGCCAAATGCAATAAACCCCTGGCTTCTTGGGCTCAATCATAGTTCAAGGTTGAGGTCAGCAATGCTGTGTGCAGGCTTTGATTTCCACAGGGTCATAGGGCATCATCCACCATGTGAAGGGGCTCCAGCAGGCTGGGGATGCACAGTGCCCATCTCGATCAGGATCCCGATGCCCTCGCCATGGCTCTGGCTCGGGCAGCTTTGGCCTCGTCCTCCAGGTCATCTAGGAAACGCTCCTGGGACACGGAGTAGAAGGTGTAACCATCTGGGAAAGTGGGTTCAGGAAACCACTTGGAGTATGCACATTGCCTTTTCCTAGACCTGTGCCACCACCCTGTTACTCTCTCACCCTCCCAAATCAGTGATTCCGCCCTCTGCTTTTCTGAGCGCTGACCTCGATTACTCCGTTATTATCGATGAGGCATATAAAAAGAGCATCTTAAAAGGACAAAGTAAGGTCCATTAAACGCTTGGCTCGGCATCAGAAATGGCTAAGACTTTCGCAGCTCTGGCTCTTTTTACCACCCCAGCACTGACCTACTACTCGCTGCCGTTCCTCTTCCCCTGCCCCCATATGCCGTCTCCTGAGCGTACTACAGTCCGAACGGATACAAATAGCTAACACCAGGGCCCCGATGCCCAGGCCGGTCACGATGTTCCGGGTCCGCCGCTGTGGTAGAGTCTTCTGCCACTGGGCGAGCTGCACCTGCCGCATGAACTGCAGCTGCGCGGGAGTCAGCTTCTCCCGAGTCGGGTCGATGCGCTGAGCCACAGGGGCCTTTCCATCCTTAGCATCGAGAGAATCTCCGGCTCCCGGCGCCGCCATGTTGCCGCTCCGTCCGTCATAGCCCCAAGGCGCGGGGCTTGCTGGGAATGGCAGTCCTTGGCCGCAACAGCGGACTCTGGGAGTTGTAGTCCGCGTGTTCTTCCGCGAGGCGATCGCTGCTCTTGGCCTTAGGGGAAGGGCGGGGGCGGGGCAAACGAGTCGAGCTTTCTGATTGGCTGAGGGGTCCGCGGCCGTTGGGGCGGGAAAGGGCTGTAGAGTGCTCGAGGCCGTGGTGGAAATTGGGTTTTCCTCAGACTTGAGGTGAAGACAAGCACACAGAAGGGGACGAGGAATCCCAGACAGAGTGTGGCGGAAGACTGGGGTGAAGCTAAGGGGGTCGGTTTATGGATCCAGTGAGCCGTCCAGGTGCCCCCAAAGGCTTCTGAAAATGGATGGACCTGTGAAGTCAAGATTGGCCTCTGTCAGTGACTTTCAGTTTGGAGCTGTTGCCACAGAGACGATCGAAGACTCTCTGCTCCACCTGGCGCAGCTGAACGAGCGAGCCGTGCAGGAGGCTGCAGGCCGGATGGGCAGCTTCAGGGAGACCCGGATCGTGGGTGTGGACCCAGGGCCCGGGAGCCAGTTTTATGGGAGACTAGGGCACCTGTCTTTGAGTCACCAGCCTGGAGACTCAGTTTCCCATATTCATTCAGATAAGTGTTGTTAGGAACTACTATATGCCAGGTGCAGGGGATACAGTGACGAACAAGACACACCGGCACCCTACCCTTGATTTCAACCCATGTAGAATGCTTCTCCACACCGCTTGGGGTAGAAGGATAAAACAGAGATTCAATCCCTGCTTTCAAACCATGCCCAATCTTTCGAGGATATTAGAACAAATCCGTAAATGACGAGGTACAAGTACTGTTAGTTAAGTGACATAACAGCTAAAAGAAGCTTTCTGGGGCTTGAAAGGAGCGACAGGGTGAGGTGAGGGTAGGAAGAATTAAGGGAGTCCTCCAAGCATGGTAGACCTCAAAGAGGGATGAGTTTGGGTTGGTGAAGGCTGAGGATAGCGTTTCTACCGAAAGATCCTAACATGAGTAAAGCCATGGAAATAGGGAAGCTTAGGGTGAGTGTGGGTCAAGTCCAGGTTGTCCAGAGCATGTGGAAGAGTGGTTGAAATGAAGACCAGAAAAGTAGTTTGGAGACATTCCATGTGACACTTTGAGTGCCAAGGGTGAGGGGTGGGAGTGTTTATACTTGGCTTAGTAGGAAAACAAGAAGGCATTGAAGAGTTTCAAATATGAGAGTGATATGACTGTAACCTTTGCCTTAGAAAAAATTACTTTGGCTGTGATGTATAGAATGGAGTGGAGTAGGAAGGGATAGGAGAAAGGTAGACCATCAGAGTCTCTGTCAGTAGTTTAGGCAAGAGGGCAGAGGGAATGACGGGAGGATGAATTAAAAACATTTCAGGGACAAAATCTTGGGTTCTGCAGTGGATGAATTTAAGAGGTGGAGAAGGCAAAGAAGACCATGCCAAAGGGTTGAGCCTAAGAGAATGGGAATATAGTGATGCCATTAAAAGAAATACACACACCTAGTAGTAATAATAATAATAATAACAATAATAACAATAATAATAAAATGGGGAAACGTCACTTTTGCTTGGGAAAGAGAACAACTTTGGTTTCAGATCAACTGAGTTTCAGGTGCTTGTAGAACATCTAAAGGAAGGCTTCTAGTAAGGGGTTTAAAAAAGTCAGAAGAGAAGTCAGAACTAGAGATAAAGGTTTCAGAGTTATCTTCATAATGATAGTGTTGAAACTGGTAGAGGGGCGCCTGGGTGGCTCCGTCAGTTAAGCCTCAAGCCTCCGACTTTGGCTCAGGTCATGATCTCACAGTTAGTGGGTTCGAGCCTGCATTGGGCTGTGTGCTGACAGCTCAGAGCCTGGAGCCTGTTTCAGATTCTGTATCTCCCTCTCTCTCTGACCCTCCCCTGCTTACGCTGTCTCTCTCTCTCAGAAATAAATAAAACATTTAAAAAATTAAAAAAGAAAAAAAAGAAACTGGTAGAGAATGAGTCTGAGGGGGAGAAAAGACAAGCAGGTCAGGGACAGTTCCTCCCTTGGGAAACATTTTGTGCTCAGGTCAGTTGGAGTAGGAAGAGAGTCATGAAGGAAATTCTTAAAAAATAGGGAGATAGGAACAGAACCTAGACACCTCTGGAAGCCAAGAGAAGAGTTTCAAGAAGGATGATGGTCAGCAGTTTCAGATGCCTCAGGGATATGAACGATGGGAATGAAGGTTGCAAAAGGGCGATGATATTTAACAGTTTGGACTTTTTTCTGGCCTTTGAGACCATGTTTCGGCAAGTAGAAGCCCAAACCACAGAACATCAGGGAATTCATGAGGAAGTGGAAGCAGCAGGTTTAAGCAAAGGCTTTCAAGAAAGTTAACAGCGATGCAAACTAGCTTAAGAGGACTGAAGGGGAGGGTCTTTCAGTTAAATGATGTGAGTATGTAAGTGCCCGGAGGGAGAGCCAGCAGGAAGGGAAAGCGTAACCATCATCTACTGCATCTAACCCTAGCTCAGTTCTCTTGGCAAGTTAAACTAGAAAATACAAACAATTGCCCAGATAATTCAGACCCAAACTGAACCAAAACCAAACAACTACACACACACACACACACACACACACACACACACACACCAAAGAAATAAAGCCTAACCTCCAGCAAATAAAAAGACTAGTAACACAGTTATGTGTGATAGGGGATTTTGCTTAATTGCTTAAACTAATTATCTTCTGCATTGGGCACTGTTAGCAGGGCTTTAGTTTCTATAACAGCCAGGTTTTTGTACATATGGGGAACATGTGTTGAGCAGACTGTTCAACTGTCTTGTGCTAGCTTAACTTTTATGTGCCTAAGAAAGGCAAATTTTCTCTGAAGACACATGGTCATTTGACTATGCATAATTCTTTGCCAATCAGTTCTAAAAGTCCCAAGTTCTGCAGATTTCTTTGTTGAGAACTAACATTTAGCCTTGTTTCCACCCTCTAATGATAATGCAAACTAAATAGAATTCTATCTGGGGCTATTCTTTCAAAGAGAAACAGAGGCGGACTAAGATCCTGCCAAGGTATCTTGCCCTTCCCATCTTCCCAATGACTTTGCCACCCCTCACAAAGTGGGCTGTGTTCCCTGACGTAGGGCATATTTCTTCAAAACAAGCCACTCCCCAGTAACAAACTTGCTCCTGGGGACAGGCTCGGCCACTGCAGATTTACCCAACAAACTGGTGGTGAAGAGATGGTGTCCAGCTGTAAGGTGAATCCTGTTTGTAAAGCAATGGGAGTTCTCCAGAGGGCGGTTACTAAACAAACACTGTTAGGAAGAGTATCGAAGCTCCAGGAGGGACTTTTCTGTTCCTGTCAACATTCCACTGAAAACAGAATATGGGGGTTCGGGTTTTTATCCATCCAAGAATCTCCCTTGAAGCTGGAGGTTCCCAGCATGGTGTAGAGGCCAACTAGACCAGCTGGTTTGTTTGTGTGTAGCTGGCCAAGCCTTTTATCAGCTGAGACCCACAGGAAGGCTCAAGGGTCACCAAGGGGGCTCTGTCAGCCTTGGATCTGCCTATTGGCAGGAAAGGGAACTAAGCTCAGCTTGTGTTGTTTCACTCTCCCCCATCTCAGCCCCTGACCCTCTTCTCCTGGCCCCCTTGTGGCTTTTATACTGTGCCAGGGTTTCACAGAGTGGTTTTTTGGTTGCACCTTGTGAATTAGGCTCTTCTTTCCTGTTTTGGCAGAGTTTGTTTTTCTCCTGTCTGAACAATGGTGTCTGGAGAAATCCGTGAGCTACCAGGCTGTAGAAATCCTAGAAAGGTAAAGCCCTGAGCATTAGGTCTTTGTGAGTGGTACCTCTCAGAATGGTTAATGTATCCAAGTCTTAGAAGAGTGCAGCTACCCCTTACTAGGAGACCTGGGTTTACAGCCTCTGTTACTTGCAAATGCATACTTCTCACCCAGGGACTGGTATCGGGGAGGAGGAGATAGAGCATAGTTTGATACACAAGCTCCCTTTAGTTTGAGTGAGTGCGGATGGTTTACTCTCCCCTTCCCTTTACAGGTTTATGGTTAAGCAGGCGGAGAATATCTGCAGGCAAGCCACGATCCAGCTGAGGGAGAAGACGGAGCCTCAGAATTGGAAAGCTCTGAAAGAACAGCTTTTCAATAAGTTTATCCTGCGTCTTGTGTCATGTGTTCAACTGGCGAGCAAACTTTCCTTCCACTACAAAGTAAGGAACTGGGGTCTCTCATGGGCACCTGAATGTTTGGAGAAACCAGCTTATCCACAGGTGACTGTGAGAAACTTCCTTCTAAGCGAGGTGTTACTATTCCTGTGGAAATTCCAGAGTGCGATTATGCTTCTTAAGCATACCTCCTACACACACACACACACACACACACACATGCAGTCACACAGAGGCAATTATGAAATAGCCTGAAGTTCTGTTTCCAAAGTATAATTGCTGGACAAATGCCATCATTATTCATACAGGTCACCTTTCCTCCCCTTGGACTCAAGGACAGTTTACATAAGGTGCCCGAATTACCAGCAGACCTATCAGTATTAAAGACAAACTGTTACATTTATAGGGGATAAAATGTCTCCATACCCCTACCCAATGCCTGCATAGTAAAATACCATTCATTCAACACATGCTTGCTGGCCTTCTACGGCCAGATGCTACACTAGGCGCCATGGGTACAATAGTAAACATATTGCCTGTGCTCTCAAGGAATTTATGATCCAACGGGAGAAGACACACAGGCAAATAATGTGGGAGAGTGCTTTGATTAGTGTAAACACAGATGGCTATGAATATACCCCAACAGCCTTGGAGAATCAAGGAAGTATATTTAGAGACAATGACTTGTTGAAGGCGGTACAGGTAGGTAGGAGATGGGAGAGGGTCTTAAAAAAAGAGGGAGAGGAGTTACACAAAGCAGAGAGAGAGGAGGGAGAGGAAAAGGAGATCCAGACATAGGAAACAGCACGCAAACAGGTCTGGGAGGGCTGGACGAGCTCAGGAGCTGCAAGCAAT